CGAAATAAGATTATACATGATCTCACTTTTAGAAAATATTCATTTTGAGCAAGAATAATATGTTCTCGGTGTAAAAAAATACTGTCTTATTTCAAGGGAGAATATCATCTTGGTTATACGAAACTTGTTGATTTTTAGTTAATTAATTGATGATTACTATGATTGACCATCGACCACTAACCGTGTGTAACACCAATATCAAAAATTGCTTCTTCTGCTTGTTTGTTTTTAATTAACGACGCAAGCACTTAAATATCTATTTTCAAATTTATGAACTAATTTGTGTTTCGTAACAATGGTAATTTTGTAACAAAAAAAAAAAAGCTTCCATAAAAAATTCATACAGCGGTACCTGCATGAGCGTGGTATAGAGAAAGACACGTGTGGGCTTTTGCATATTCAACCTCGTGCACTACTTACGTTATATATCTCTCTCTCTTCTGTCTGCGTTGGGCGTACGATATTACATGTATACTATTCGCGTTGAACCTGACCTTTCCTTTTTTTTATATGCATATACGCTCAATCGTACGTATGGAGGTGAAAAAAAGTCGCTTTTTGGATCACCCAGAGCTTATTGGTGGATTTTCATATTTTGCTGTTTATTTAATTTTTGCACAGAGAGAGAAAATAAAGCGTTCAAATGGATACTAATTTAAAGAGGAGATGACTCAATTTGAGATTATTCTCGTGTGATTAGATTGTTCCTATGCACTTGTTTGTTTATCCGTACTGCGACGCAATAAAACCAGGAATACACGCCCCCTTTAACTTTGAAGTCGTTACATGCGGAAATTAAACAATAAAAATTTTTTTTTCCTTTTTTTGTTTTTACAGTTGAAGCACAGTTTATAATATGCATAAATATAGTTGCAAGGGGAATGATGATTAACATATTCGTATCCACGTGTATATAAATGCACATGAATGTTCAAAAAGGTCATGCACTCGCAGCGAAATTTTCCTTTCTCTTTCCTTACGTAAATTTTACAAAAAGATAAATACCACGCAAGAAGTTTGGATTGCACCAGTTCTTTTTTCAAGGTGCAACAATACATATCGGCTAAAAAAAAAAAAAAAATCCGGTCTCGTGAATATAAATTTAAACTTTGGTTTTTCATTACACATAATTTTTTCTTCACACGCGTGCATGATATATACCAGCACTTACTTGCCGTGCTCGATTTCAACACGGAAACTCGGAGTTTTCCCGCTTTACGCGCAGTAAGTAAATAACACAGCGAAACATCGGTAGAGTGGAAAAAGGCAAGGTAGCAATTTTTGATCGCTGGCTCTTACACGCACACGCACACGCATACTCGCATAACCCCCGATATTTATAATCGTATGGTAAATTTTAAAACTATTTACATTTGGCCGATAACGATTTTAAACGACATATATCGCACAATTGTATATTTTTAGCTAACAAAGCTTTTTATAAATTTTTCATGCACATAAATGTATAGAACATCAGCACAATGCACATGGTTTCGTGCACGTTTCACTTATGTCCCCATTTAAAAAATTTTCCATGCAACTCCAACCGAGCTTGTGCGCATATAAAAATAAAGTTGCGATGGCACATTATTACACACTTAGCCAGTTGCGTCCTCTTGTCTCGCCCGTATATAGGTATATATGTATAATCATGTACAAAGCACATAATTGATATCTCTGCATATCAGGCGTGCCAGCCGCTGAAACTGTTGTCCGACAAAAATATGACCAGAGTCGCGCAAAGAGCTATAGAGTTTTAGAATAGTATCTGTCCTCGGGGGACAGGGAGCGAGAAAAAGCGAGAAAAATAATAAACTCATCAGGACACAACCCTTGCAATGGCTTTTCGCTAAGAAGGTATAAAAATAAATAAATTTAAAAAAACAAGCAAACCGTGAGCCATCCCCATATTTTTTTTTTTTTTTTTCCTACACGTGCCACGTTTAGTATAACATAGTATCCGCACCATAGCTATCTAGAGTCATCGGAGAAGGACAAAGTAACACGATGACTATCGATTTGGCTTTCCAAGGGGCTAACTCACGCGGAGAGGGCTCCATTTGGAAAAAAGCGACCAACTTGTATGGGGTCATGGAAAATTTCTTCCTTCGACACGTGACACGGAGACTGCGCCTCGGAACGTCGGAGGGGATTCGAAGAAAAAAAAAAAAAAAAAAGAAAAAAAAGAGGGGAAGGAGAAAAAGAAACCATCAATGAGACGATGGTTCGTTGCCCGCGCCCGTCTTTGTCCGTTTTCTTCTCGACCTTAGCTATTATTCTTCGGCTGCCGCTGTTGTTGTATACCGTACACGTGTATATGTATAGGTTCTTTGACTCCGCTCCCATGGCTGTATATATTGCCATCGGCGGACGAGAGCGACGTGTATACCATTACCCACGGCGAGACGGACACCCTAAAAATTTCCACCATGTGCAGCGCACGTAAGGTGATGCAGGCCGCTTGTGGTGTACAATTTTAAATTTGAGAGCGGAAGCTGTGCCTAATCGGACAGAGGGACGAGAAAAAAAAAAAAAATAGAAAAAATTACAGAGCAGCGTTCGAAGAACCGATTGGCTTTCATTTCGAAATCCGAGACGATATTGTGTGCAGTGTGTGTACGCATATGTATGTTATTTAGCTATGTACCATGAAAAATATGTGTGCGTTTAATGAACGACTTTTGGTTCAAGAATCACGCATGAGAAGGAAATTGTGTAACCAAATTCGTTTTTTTTTTTTTTTTTTCTACAATTATAGGTTCCTTTTCAGGTCGAACGACAGGAAAACAATATTATTAATTGTACAATGAAGCCGTGCAGCCAATCGTGCTGAAAGTTCGGTGGTACAACACAAGGGATGGTTCGCTTCGTTTGCATCAACTTTATTTTCTTTGTTTTTTGTTTTCTAAAGGAAAATCGCTCTCAGTTAATCCATACCTATACTTGCGTTCACGTTAACCGAGCAACGTTCGACTCGAATTATGACTGTTCAGCTCGGAACAGAGAAGAGAAGAAAAAAAATTCAACCGTGTGTTTTTTTCCGAGCGATACGACACACGTGCAGCTTAGTACCTATATGCATGTGCATAAATTATACGCTATTATCTGTTAAGTATGAACTTTTCCACAGCCGTTTTGCATTATGTGACATATATATACACTTAGGTATGAAAACGTGTCTGATGTGCAGAGTCGCTTCCTCGTTACTCCACGAGTTAACGCATAATATTAGTATAATCGTCTCTGATGTTTAGAGCGTGCCATTGTTACTATATGCGTGGTTTTTTTTTTTCTTCTGCTTTGTATTAGCATTACGAACAAAATAATTTTTCATCGCATAGATGTCCCATTTGATATAGTATAGGGGATGGATCGCTGCTCTTGGGGACAGTTGTACTTTCGTCGTAATTGCACTTTTACAGTTAAAGAGCTGTACATGACGTAGAAGCACGTTTACTTCGGATCCAAACGATTGAAATTGTCCATATGGCAGAAAATTGGTGATGCAATTGATAACAGATTAATAAAAACATATTAATCGCAAAATAGTTTACACGACGAATTGAGGACTGTGCGACACTCAAAATGTAACGGAGCAAAAAATTCAGTTTTGCCGTCTTTTCAAATGAAATACAAGTCAACAGGAAACCCTTTACTACCTATTTAGGTGTTACATCCTCGCAAGCTCTTTCAAGGAGAACAACACTGCATCTGCAAGCTCCGTACACGAACACACACACACACATACATATATGTGGAGGAACCGTCAGTACATCTAACCATGAATAAATATCGTGGTCTTCATCGCAAAGGTGCTTCGCTGCAAAAACCCTCTCCTCCCCAACGAAAAACGGACGGACGGAGATGTATACAGGGACATCGTTGCATAAAGTCTCGTTAAATATAATACATTTATGTATATCACGGCTCATTATCAATCAACAAAGTTCCAGGTGAATAACCTCGCAGTGCGCGTATGCCAGTCGACCGAGTGTGAAAGCCTTTGTTTTTTTTTTTTTTTTTTTTTTTTTGTTTTTCCTTCTCTCGTGTTCGATGCTGCACCGAAGGCGAACCTCAAGCTCCAATGATGAGTTGAGTCGATTTACGTACCCCCACACACAAAAATATTACGTAGGTATACATTCTAACAACTGCGTGGGATTTAAAATTGAAAAAAAAAAAAAGGTGCCCGAGAGCCCCGGCTCTGCTCCTCGTGCGCAGCCCTGCGAAGCCGACACTCCCCCGGTTTGGTCCAGCGCAGCCTCCGACTCATCAAGTCCGGCTTGAGGCTCCTGGTCTACGGAGCGGCTAGTCTCGCGCTGGCCTACGCCCTTTGGTACCTGTACGAGGAGTTGTACGACTGTTTCTGGAACGCCGTCCACGGCTTCGTTTGCACGTCCGTGGCACTGTTGGTCTCGGGTGTCGCCCTCATCGCCTTGTGCAAGGACGGGGAGCTCAGCATCGATCCGGAGGACTTGTACGACAGCTACTATTAAACCTACAGCCTTTGCCGATACCAGTCAATCAAGTCCAAGCGTAGATTGTATACATGTATCGTATGTCTGTCTGTCAAATTGTTTGTTTGTTTGATCCATGGAACCCCTTCGGTAAACATGTGATTTACTGAAAACAAAATCATTATTATTATTATCATTCAGGTCAAGGGGACTATGTTCTTTTTTTGAATTTGTACAATTGAATGAATACAAAAAATAAAAAATAAATAAAGAAAAAGGAAATTTTTAACTACCGACGCAATCATGCAGCCAATTAGTGACTCGTCGATGAAAAAAAAAAACCGTCCCGTCCCGATCGCCATTGATATGTGTTTCCCACTATGCTATTAAATGTTTTTATAGTACCCCTGAATTGGCTCGATTGCTCAAAGTGTAGGGATCCAATGAAGCTACTCTTGCCGCATCAACTTAGAATTAAGAGGGCGCATTTGCATCGTCACCGCGAGAGAGAGAGAGAGAGAGACACGGACGTGCAAAAATAATATGATCAGACGTAAGTGCCACGCCAAGGCGGTAATATACAATATAGGTAGCGCGAAGTAAAGTAAACCGCGCGACTGTGCATCCGTCAATTGGCATATACGTGGGTATTATATGTATATATATACGTATACACATATTAGGGCGATTTGGTCAATGCAATTAATGGGCCAGTTTGGAAACTGCCGCTTCGTCTTTTGCATTCAATTGACCAAAGAGACGGTCTCGTCACGGCCTCTTTTTTTTTCTTCCATCCCTCTCAACGAAGAGATATTGTCAGAAAGTCGATTCGGCGTACGCAATTAAAACGCTCCGCAATTTTATCGTCAATTTGCGATTCGAGAAAAGACGCGACATATAAACGTCCCGAAATTGTCCCTGATGACTCGCTGTGGGATGGACGAATAGTGACCATTTTTTTTTTTTTTTTTTTTTTTTACCAAGGCGCGTGCACGCGGTTTGTTTTTCGCTGATATCACTCGACGCGTTAAGCTTTGCAATGTATACCCGTGTAGGGTTATTTCAAAGTTTCGCTCACGTATATTATATACTGTATGTCGTTAGCGCACAGTAATTGAGAGACGGCGCACACAAAACATCATCTCGTGATTAAATGTGGTTCGTTTAAAACGCACCTACAGCTATTACACCGAGGACAAAAAGGCAAAAACGATCTTACGTATAAAAAAAGTTACAAAACAGTTGCATCTCTTTTTTTTTTTTTTTTTTTTTTTTTTGTTTTTCTTTCTTTTAAATTCTCCAGCGCACAGTTGTAAGCTCAAACTGGTTCGCCTCTTTTTTCCGTGTGATGCATCCAAAACGAGACATGGCTGAGCTGGTCTAAAAAAACCTTTGCCTTTCGTAGCGGAAGCAAAAGCCACGGCTGCACTGGTAGCCGAGGGCGAGCTCATACCACCCGATGGTGGCTGGGGATGGTTCGTCCTGATCGCGGCGGTGATGGTCAACGTACTGATACCAGGTGGCATCAAATCCTTCGGTGTCCTCTACAACGCCTTCCTCACGACCTTCGACGCCAAAGCCACCAATGGATCCTGGATCCCCGCCATCTGCTACTTCCTTTACAGCTCCTTGGGTGAGTATATATATGGGCTTTGCTTAAACAATCCTCCGTATGCAATAATTTTTTAGTTTTTTTTTTTTTTTTTTCATTTCACGTATAGGTCCGTTGTCGAGCGTACTTTCGGTCAGATACTCGTATCGGACGGTCACGTTGCTCGGCGGCACCTTCGCCGCGGCGGGAATGATGCTGAGCTACTTTGCCACCTGCATCGAACACCTGTACATAACGTGAGTATAAATTAATATACATGTATTATACACCAATACCTCACAATGAGCCTCATCCATACCTAAATATATATTTTTTATCCGTGTCATACGTGTACCCTTGAATTTCAGTTACGGGATACTCGTGGGCATCGGTGCCGGTCTGGCCTTTCCCCCGACGGTCTACATCGTCACCTCGTACTTTTTCCGATTGCGCGGCTTGGCGAACGGCTTCTGCATCTCCGGCAGCTCCCTCGGCTCCATCATCCTCCCTCCCGTGCTCACGAAAATGCTCCAGGTCTTTGACGTTCGGTAAGGTTCCCTCAACACCCCAATATCACGACAAAACATGTATCGAATCGTTTACATTCCCCCTTCCCCCCCCTCTCTCTCTCTCTCTTCCAGGGAAACGATGCTGATCTTGGGCGCCCTGACTCTGAACGTGTGGGCGTGCGCCCTGCTGTACCAGCCGGTGGAGAAACACCTGATCCCGGCCAAGCCGGCCAACGAGGGGGCCATCACCGTGGAGGAGTTGGGCGACGAGCAAGCCGAGGAGGACGGGGAGGAGACCGGTGGGGTCTTGGAGCCCCTGGCCGAGACCGTGAACATCGCGGTGACGAGACCGGGGGAGCCGAGAAGCAACGGGGCCACCTCGCCGACCGTCCCGAAGAGCGCGTCGAGCGTCGCCCTCGAGAACTACTACAAGCCGGCGGTGCAGGGCCGAACGCGCAAGATCAGCATGCCGGTGAGCAACCGCGAGATGGCCGGCCAGATGCACAGCACCCCGGCCCTCCACGCGGTCCCGGAGCGCGCTGGCTCCGAGAGCAACCGGTCCCTCATGCAGGCCGTCCGCCGGCAACACCAATCCACCAAGCCACCGCCCCTATCCCCCAGCACCTCCTCCTTCAACTACATAAGCACCCCTTACCACGGCAGCACCCTCACGGCCCTGCACCCGGAGTACGCGTCCACCTTGACTCTCAACGCCATCAGCTCGGCTTTCAGAAAGTCCCCGGAGAAGCAGGCCAAGCACCACCAGGCCGCCGAGGAGCCGGACCAGCAGCCCGCCAACCGGTTCTTCGACTGCAACCTCCTCAGGGACCCCATGTACCTCGTCATCCTCATTTCAAACTCGACCAATGCCATCAGCTACACGAACTTTGTCATCACTTTGACCCTGTACGCCCTCCAGCTCGGCTACTCCGACGAGCAGGCCTCGGTGCTGCTATCGGTCGTCTCGCTCTTCGACCTCACCGGTAACTCACCATATGTATACAATATTGTGTGGGTGCGCGTGTGTGTTTATACATATAAATTGCAAAAAAACTAAAACAAATGTGAAATCGTGTAGGAAGGATCGGCGGAGCTGCGCTGTCTGACACGAAACTCATGCCGAAGCACTGGTACTTTGTGGGCGGGCTCTTCATATCGGGGGTTTCGCTGACCATCCTGCCGATCGCCAAGGGTTACGTCATGGTGGCGTTTTACTGCAGCATATTCGGGATAGCCTCGGGGGTGTACGTCGGTGTGACGGCGGTCGTGATGGCCGACATGCTGGGCATAGAGAAGCTCACCTCGTCCTACGGTATATCGTTGTTCGTCAATGGGGTCTTGCAGCTGGTGGGGCCGCCAATATGCGGTGCTCTGGAGGAACGGTTGGGCGACTGGGGCAAGATATACAGCGTTTTGGGGATCATACTCATTGCCGGGGCCCTCATTTGGGGTTTCGTGCCGCTCATCAGGAGACGCCAGGCGGCTCGGAGGAGGACCGAAGCCAACAATGACGAGGAGAGCGCGCTGCACTTGCCGGAGAAGCTGTAGCGCGGGGACACTTGTTGAGCCGAGCGTCAGTATTAAGATTATTTCAACGGCTTGACTCGCCTTTTTTTTTTTTTTTTTTTTTTTTTTTTTTTTCATTTTCTTTTCTTTGCGAAACGATTTGCCAAAATTGAGTGTGCTGTTAACGAATGGGTGAAAAAACGTTTTTGTTTTTATTAACACTGCACAGGAGTTATCTCAAGCGAATAATGTTTCATTATATTCATTAGCTGACTTGTGTTTATGAGCAAAACAAAAACAAAAAAAAAAAAAAAAAAAAAAAACAGCGAACAATTTCAACGTTACGTATGTATATAAGCGGTGTTCGCAAACAGAGGCTTTCTTTGGTCCCTAATTTTACTTGTATTTACGTGTAAGAAGCATTTTTACCATGTCCATATGGATGTTAAAGAGAAATACAAAGTAAACTATAATAATGTACAGGTGCAGTTTTGTATATTTTTTCAAACGTGTATAAAATATATTGTGTACAAAGCGGCCAACTGCATCCTTCGCGGATGACGGCGAGCAAATTTGTTATATTTCGTGACGATTCCGTGGCGTTGCGCAACGTCAAATACGCGTGGCATTTTTAATGGATCTCTCGTGGAAGTGCCTGAATGAAAAAAAAAAAAAAAAAAAAAAAAAAAAAAAAAAAAAAAAAACAGATTGTCCGAGATGCCGATTTGAATATTTCGACGCGATATAGGTCGTATTACATACGACACTACTGTTTTTAAAATATTTTCAATCATTACCTTCTTACCGCATCAATAAACGAAACATTTTTTGATGCGTATGATCAATCACCTCGAAATTAACGATTGCAATTGTAATTTCTCTTGTTTTTTATTTGACACTGCCATCTCCTTATGTATAAAAACAAAAAAACTGTCAATCTCGAGGCTCGAGAATTATTAAATTACAAAAATAACTGTAAGTTTTTTATAATAACGTCGTATCAAAAATTATCAAGACAATTTTTTATTTTATTTTTTTTTCTTCGTAAAAAATGAATATTTTAATGCAATATGTCGTCGTGTATGTCCCTCATAAATTTTGCATAAAATCTTCTATACGTCGAGCGCGAAATACGATTTTACATGATGATCTTTCGTAAGACACGATCTCATATGTAATAAATAGCCTTTTTGCATTCAAGTATTTTGAAAGATTTGGCGCCACGCTTTTTGAATCCTGTAAATGTATATGTGTGTGCGCGCTGATAAGCCATAGAGGACTTGTCGAGTTTATCATTTCATTTTTATTACGTATTACATACATGTATGCCTTATATTATTTTATTTCATCATTTTAGCTTACGTCGTGAAATGACAAATAACAATTATTTAATTACGAACGAAAATTCTTAATCAATCTGTTGACAAATGGATTTTTACGAGGTATATTTGTTAAGTAAACAAACAAAATATAGACATATATTTTATTTAAAATTTTTGTATAGTTGTTATCGCTATTAAAATGCTAACTGAGGTGTATTTTCATACATACCCATTGATGAAAAAAAAAAAAAAATTAATAAATAAATGAAATAAAAAAAATAAAAAAAATACTTAGGTAGATAATTTATTTTGTTAATAAGGTTTTTAAAGGACGTGAGGGTCGTACGAAACGATGAGAGAAACTGCATTTCCTTTGAATTATCTTAACGTTAATTAAGTTGCTAAAAAAAAAAATCTTTAATGTAGACAAAATGATGGATAAATACAAAATATACGTATAAATAGATAAACATTTTTATGCTCTATATTTAAGACAAACTCGTGCATTTTCTCGCGAATCGTTTATCTCACACATCCTTTTTCCATGTATGAATAGCTAGGGTAAAAATAAACAATGTCTTGCCTTATACTTTATGCGAGAAAAATGTGTCTATAAACAAATGTATAAATCCTGGCGCGATATGAAAATTAAAAAAAAAAAAAAAAAAAGATTATAAAGAATCGCGAAGGAACCTGCACAATGTAATCTTGACTGCATACACTCGAGAAAGTACTTATAATATGCAATACGTCGAATGTTATATACATATTTAGTAAATAAAATGAAAAACAAAATAGCACAAAATGTCAAGATTCTATCGTGTTGATCTTTTTTTTTTTTTTGTTTTTGTAAATATGTATTATATCTGTAATGATGATAAAAAAAAGAGGAATAAAAGGTTCATATATTTATAGAAGAATAATACGAAACGTACGTATTAAAGATAAAACGAAGTAAATGTATCAGAATGTACAATTTCTATATATGCATAAGATTATGTGACGACGTGGAGATCATCAGCAGCTTTGTGCTATGTATTATTAATATTATTACTTATTGATGTAAACTAAAAATGTAAAATTTAAGCGAATACCTCTATCTTTGTCGTTATACAAGTGACATGAGATTTGTGCTACAAAAGAGAGTAAACATAAGATTTTTTGTGAATAAAAAGATATATAACGATATATACACATGAATATATCGACTATGAAAGAAACGTATTGTTTTAATATTACCCTTGATTAATGTATCCTTCTGTTCATCGAAGATATTTAATGTTCTGAAAATACTCAACATATTTTTTATGGGCTTTAAAAAATTGATTTAAAAAATTTCATTTTTTTTTACGACGTAAACAGGATTTCGTCGACAACAGGATATTATTTTTACAAGCGCTTGTGAAATAATAACTTTATTTATTTTAATCGGAGATATTTAAAATTTTTGTTTCTAACCCATCGTAATTTCCACTTTTTTGTTAGCAGATTTGATTTTTAAATATTTTAGTTTATTGAGATTGAAATACTCAACTTTTCGAGCCAATGAGCCTAAAATAACATTGTGTGAAAGACCCGAGTAAATGTGCATGAATTAAACTATTAAGTAAATGATTTATAAATAAATTTTTTTTTAATCCCAGCATCCATGCCACCCACTATACCTTTGCTGTCAATGGATTTTTACATGAACGCTAAGTATACAGTATATAAAAAAATCAAACCGATACTATCAGTTAAGAGAAGAAAAAAAAAAAAAGAATCATTTTCATTATTCTTTGCATCCGACATGAGATTTCCATTAAGACGTAATATTACTTACTACGCTCGTGTCGCCCTGACGTGTTCTTATTCACCGGCCGCAGAACCTATGGGGAAAGGTCGTCGGTTCAACACGCCACATCAGCACTCCGGGATGTAGTGAAATACATACATATGCACTACTATCCCTCTTGAGAAGGGAAATCGATACGAAAATCGGTTGATTTTTTTTTTTCTCGATCGGATGGAAAAGCTCTTTCGCTGAGATTTTTTTTATTTTCAGATGTTTTGATAACAAGAAACTGCTCTAGCTTCTTATTGGACCAACGCTTATTTTTATCATGAGTACTAAATAAAAAAAAAAAACAAAAAAAAAATTACTTGTTAGTTTATTAATTCATTAGTATGTACAGCTGATACAGCTGCACTTGTGCATTTGGCGATGATATCAAGTGAAATTTCATCACACGTTAACAAGCAAAATATTAGAAAAATAAAGAAATAAATTAAAAAATTCAATCAAGTAAATTCAATAATTAAACAATTAATCATACAGTCGGAGGAAAAATCTTAAAACCCGTGAAAAACCAATAGAGAAAAGAAAAAAAAAAAAAAAGTAGCATGCCGGCAACATATACGTGTAATTTATATATTGGTGGGGTCGTCGTTGGGATCTCAGCATGTGTGTGCATTTATACGTATAGTGCTTAACACAGTAACGTCATGATAAAAAAACACGCGGCGGAGGAATCTGTACGTCGTTGGTGAAGGCGGAAGAAGAAAAGCAGTGCCTTACGACTTTTTTAGAGGCTTTCTGCTGTTGCTGCTTTCTCTCTCTCTCTCTTTTTCTGTGGTGATGATGTGGAGGAGTCCGGCTCTGGAGACCAATAAGTCACTCCTACTGTTGCTGCTGCAACTATTGTTTTACTAGGACTGAGATTTAACTTCTCAATTAGGACATACACCTCTCACTTGAGTACAAAGTTTGTTAAACACGTGTGTGTGATTGTTTCATTGTTGTACTTTTTGGACTCCAGGATGTGGAAGCTGCTCGTTGTTTATTTGCTAGTTGTAACAATTGTCCTGGCGACTGCGATACCAAAATCAGAGGATGAGTCTAAAGATCGAGTTCTTGATAAGGTAAGGTATTAATGGGCATGTGGAAGTGCCGGTTTTATTTTCTTTGTTTGTTTCATCTTTCACAAATCATCATCAATTATTGATGATGACGATGACGTGTAAGGATCATAAAAACAATATCAAAAACTGGCTTATGACGAAAACTATGTAGATGACAATATTTTTTTGTTTAAATTAAGGTGAAGATGGAAATGTTGACACAACAATAGCTATCGTCAGTTTTAAAACACAAATGGTTTTGATATGCTTATAAGAAAAGATATTTATAAGTTTTTGGTCAAACATGCGGATAATTTTAGTATTTTTTTAATGTCATAGGATTTGAGTGATCAGGAGCATTTCATAAACTCCCATCACAATCCAGCCTACGATCACGAAGCTTTTCTGGGAGAGGAAGCCAAGACATTTGAGCAATTGACTCCTGAGGAGAGTGCAAAGAGACTTGGCCTGATAGTTGACAAAATTGACAAGGATCAGGATGGCTTTGTCACCCAGGAAGAGCTCAAAGATTGGATTAGGTATACTCAAAGGCGCTACATCAGAGACGACGTGGAGAGACAATGGAAGTCCCATAATCCGGAGAATAAAGAGAACGTAACTTGGCCAGAGTACAAAAACATGATTTATGGTTCCCTGGATGAAAAAGATGTCGAGAGCCTTAAAGAGCAAGATGATAACTACTCTTATGCTACCATGCAGAAGAGGGATAGGAGGCGCTGGTCTTTTGCCGACCAGGACAATGATGATGCTTTAACCAAGGAGGAGTTTTCTGCTTTCCTGCATCCGGAGGAGACCGATTACATGCGAGATGTCGTTGTAATGGAGACCATAGAGGATATTGACAAGGACAAGGACGGCAAGATTTCCCTCTCAGAATATATTGGTAAGCTTTTTTTTCGCTAAACAAATATATAATTGAGAAAATGGTGAGAGTAAATGCTCATCAACATTTTTCTCAATCACAGGTGACATGTACAAAGATGAAGATGGTCAAGAATTACCTGAGTGGGTATTAAACGAGCAGGAACAGTTTATGTCTCATCGTGATAAGGATGGCGATGGTTTTATGAACCACGAAGAGGTAAATATACACTTTATTGTTTCATTCTTGGTATCCGTCTCGAACTTTGATAAGCGAATGATGTATCATCTTTTAGGTTAAAAGTTGGATCTTGCCGGCAGACTTTGATCATGCTGAAGCGGAAGCGCGGCACTTGATTTACGAAGCAGACTCCGACGCGGATCAAAAATTGACAAAAGAGGAGATCTTGGAAAAATACGATACATTCGTGGGCTCGCAGGCGACGGACTTTGGTGAAGCCCTGACGCGACACGACGAGTTTTAAAGATCGCTTTTAACGTGACCGAGAGATTTTTCAGAAATTTATAAAAGTTTTTATACGTTATAAATATAAATATACATATTTATCGATAAAATTATATTTATACTTGATGTTTGAGAAAATTTTATACTCTATATTTTCAGAACTAAAAAGTTCTTCATATGATTATAGAATCTCATGACAAATACTTACTGCATACTGTGCAAGTGGGTACATTAATTAATTAATTAATCTTATATACTGATGCTGCTGCCATTCAAATGTATTTTGATGATAAAAATATCGTTCCCACTTGAAAAATTATCATATTTTTATAAGTGAGACATTGTCCAAAGAAATAAAACTAATAAAATTATAAGATTTTCGTTATGTTTTGTCAAAGTTTTTATTACCCACATTACTCATCAATTGCTGTAGATATCCATCAAGTTGGGGTATCTTATCAGTTAACCAGCGATATAAAATGAGGTATTCAATGATCCTAAGATAGTTGATTACATTGCAGCAAATGTTATACTATTGTAGTCGATAAAATTGGAAAAATGAATTATTTCGTTCTTTTATTACTTCTAAATTTTTATAAAGTTAATAGCGAATCAGGTGATGTTAATTTTGCTTTTTCTTCCTTATAACGTGAATACTTTGTCTAATCATAACATTAAACCAGGCGTACAGTTTTTAAAAAATCAATATAAACAGGGAGAACCACATTGTTTTAAATTTTCTTGGCTTGGGCCCAGATTTGGTGCAGAACAAGATAGAAATTGTTCTGATCCCAAGTTTAAAACCATTCCTTGTATCGAACCATTTGAAGGTAAGTTAATTATTTTACAATTAGAAAGTTCGTGGTCTTTTGAACTTTTCCAATGAAAAAATTAAATATTTTAGTTAATCCATCACTTCCAAATTTCACCGACATATGGCACAATAAGAATCGATCGGAATATGGATGTCTTTTAAGACCAGGTTACAGTTGTGTAAAGTATACGTACAAATTCAACAATGCTAGTGAGTATTCAAAACTATCGAGTATTGTATAAAATTATGTACATAAGTAGGTAGTTGTCGTTTTTATTTACCTTCAGTTTCGAAATCTAGTTGTCAACAGCTCATTTTTTTGTGGAAAAATGGTACGAGATACAATTAATGTCATTGAAAAAGGTTGCTTCACTCAAAAGGTGAGACAAGGACTTGACAAATATCACTGAAAACTGTGCGACAATACACTTTTAAATTTAAACATAAAATTCAATTTACAGGTAGGTGGTTACGAATTCGAAGCATGTACTTGCAGATCAAAAAACTCACGACATATACCGTGTAATTCATCAATTAAAAATAATTTTTATCCTCTGAAAATGTTTTTTGTTGCACTAGTAATGTTATTTTTATACTAAAATCTTATTTTAAGGGTACAAATAATGATATTAAACCCAGTAGAATTCTTTTCTTCTAATACCTGAGTAAGCAATAATAATATTACAATATTTAATATAAATAAACCATTGAAATTGCGTAGAACTAATTTTTATAAATTATTACATGTAGGTAGAAATGTTGTTTGTTAAACAGGATTGGATTGCTCTGTGCCAAACCAAACTTAAAATTTTTGTTATTTTTGTAAAACCAAAATCTTCAAAATCTCTGTGATGACTCAATTTTCACCGAGATATTTCGGAGTTTGTTTACAAATGAGAAAAAAAAAAAAATTTGTTATGTACTAGCACCATCTAGCGGCATTCATTTTTTGGTAATTTGGTTTTTGGTATTCAACCAGACATCAAATTCAATTATTCAATATATTTTTAATATGCAAATTAGCATTTTATTTTACACAATTAACAATTGTTCAGCTTACACTCAGCGCCATTTCGTGTGGTTGGTTTCGAAATAAAAAGTATTTTACTCTACGGTCTCTAATAGATCGTTATATTATCCGTCGGATATATCCGTTACTCCGTAGCGGACTCGGAGGGTCTAAGTAGGTTTTGGATTTGGATCGGCTTCGCTAGATCGATATTACGCTCACTTTCTGTAAATTCACTCATAAAACTCACTCCTACAGGCTAGTGTCCACCGCGGAGGGTCTTTGGAGCGGCTCCGCTAGACCCTACGCTCACTTTTTGAAAATTCACTAAGAAAATTTACTAGAGGATAGTGTCCATAGCGGAGGGTCTATTCGAGCCGATCTACTAGACCCTACGTTTACTTTCTGTGAATTCACTAGTCCCCGTAGCGGAGGGTCTATTGGATCGACTTCGCTGGACCCTGTTACCACCACGACCTACGTAACATTACAGCCTCTGATTTTATCATTCTGGTAAAGAGATCGCGGTGTAAGATGTACGTGAGGTTGTGTGTAGTAATTAAAGTAATTACTACTAAGTAATGCCATATGGTCGATTTTATTAAACCATATGAATACCTATATTTTTGGAGGTCGACTTTTATGTAAAAAAATAGAATGTAAACTTGCCGCAAATAGCACAAACCACGTCAACTTTTTATTATCTATCTATAGAGTTAGTTGCGGCTGGTTTATAATTAATTAAATGGCTCTACTGTAAGTATAGTAATAATTATTTGGATCAGCGCCATCTAGCGTTGCAGATTTCTGAACTAAAAAGTGGCCCTAAACTTTTGAACCAGAGCTTTAGCGCGTAGAGCCATTTAGTTAGTTATAAACCAGCCGCCACTCATGATGAAGCTATAAAATGAAAAAACAACGAAACATGTGTTTTTAGCGGCAAGTTAACAATCTATTTTCTACCAAAAAATCAACCTCCTATGTGTTTATACTTTTGAAGATAAATTTTCAAGCATAAGATGAATTGTTAACTTGCCGCCAACAACACATGTATTGTTATTTTTTTATTTTATAGCTTCGTCATAAGTTGCGGCTGGTTTATAATTGACTAAGTGGCTCTAATCCTGAATGCTCTGATTTAGAATTTTGGGAGCCACTTTTGGCCAAAAAATAAAGACCACTAGATGGCGCTGATCCAAATTATTATTGCTACTTACAGTAAAGTCACTTTACTAGTTATAAACCAGCCGCAACAAATTTTATAGATAGATTGTAAAAAGTTAACATTTTTTGTGCTATTTGCATATTTGTGATATTTAAGACAGCAAACGACGTGAAAGTCGAGGAAAAAGTGAAGATTTCATCGCTGTTGACTGTCGTCTGCTGTTTTAACTGGCCAGATTACGGAATAGATCGCCAGTTAATTCAAGGTAGTTGACTTACCGACCTGATTGTAACGTAGAGCGCAACCCACTATTACTTGCTGGTGACGATTGCGGAAAACACCCCAGATTACGGAATAGAGCGCCAGTTAATCCAAGGTAGTTGACTTACCGACCTGATAGTAACGTAGAGCGCAACCCACTATTACTTGCTGGTGACGATTGCGGAAAACACCCATAGCCTAGAAAATTTTGCTAGTGACTTTCTTTAAAACGAAAAGGACACTTTTTAGTTCCAAATCAGCCGCGCAAGATGGCGCTAATTGTAAACTCTAACTAGTGTACGTTATTAGTGTTATTACTAGTTAACACATTTTCTAAAGATTAATTACTTTTAGATGTCTTGCGGACTCTTAAAATGTACGGCCTATTAAAAGACATTTTTGAGGAGTTTTGGAGGTAAATAATCAGATTAAGTATCTATAAGCTCCAAGATTCGAGAGAGCTGTGTGTGAAACTGTATAGTGTGGGCGTGACGTCACGAGGTCACGAGCGAATGAGCGATTTTCTCTTTTACTGTTGATGCTGTGGTGTAGTGTATACTTGTGTACCTATGCTGTTATACTGGCGCGCAGTATCTTCATCTCTGATGAATAACCTCTAAATTCACTACACATAATACAACATACTGTATCACTCTCTGCAGTGTCCTGGTGTCCTGTATGTTGCAAGTGTCGCAAGTCGTAACGACTGTGTGGTATACCTGCGTTCTGGAAAATAGATTTTCGCTGGTTGTAGTTTGTAATTGTTGCAAGGACGACGATTGTGTTTATAAATAGTATTGACCAAAAAACGGCTAGCGCGATTCTGCCAGTCTGCAGACTGCCAGACTCCATGTAATCTCACCCTCAGAGTGCTGCAGCCAAACGCATGCGCGCTAACTCAAAACGAACACTCGGTGCACTCGTGCGCTCGTGCGTTTCGTCAGAGATTAGAAGTCTAGTCTCTGGTTTCGTTTCCCTCCCGCTTCAGTAGACGCCCAGACGAGAGCACTAGTGCGAACTTTACTTCACGTGGACATACTTCATTTGAAAAAGTAGCGTTTTCCTTTAAAATTCCTAACCTTATATCCACGTAATTACGTGGATTTGGTGCGAATAGACACAGCGTAGAGAAATCATCTCAATTCGGCCGGAGCCATGGCCGATTTCCTAGACTCCGAGGCCGAGGAGAGTGAGGTTGGTATCTTTTGTTGTTGTTTATGTATAGTTATAATCTCTTTTAAGAGTAAAATTAAATATTGTTTGCGTCGAGCAGCCTCTTCGAGGTTTGCTGGTAAAGCTCGTATCTTTGTTGTCGGATTCCTATACAGAAAAACACGTCTGGCTACGTATAAGTTATTTATATTTATACTGGTTAAAGACCTTGAGTACTGCTAGATGTTTTGGAAGCTACTTTGTGTTCTTTTCTCATTGTTTTTGTTTTTAATAAAATATTGTAAACACCTGCTTGGTTAATTCTTATGTAATTTCATTCACTTAGTTCAGGACTCCAAAAATAATCATAATTATGCTTTTTCATGATGTTTCATAGGAAATGAATAATTTTTGAGTCCTTAATTACATTTAAACTGTATTGTGAATAGTAGTGATGTTCCTGTAAATACAATTTTTTCGTAATAAGTCATTTAAAGTATTACATTACGACCTACTTGAATATTTTAGGATGAAATGTTGGATGCAAAAGACAAGAAAAAATTGAAAAGAATTGCTGCCTCTGATAGTGAAGAGGAAGAGGAAGATGACGAAGAAAAGCTTAGAGAAGAGCTTAAAGATCTCATAGACGATGCCCCTATTGAGGAAGACGAAAGTGATGGAGAGGATAGCGATAATTCCACCAATTCTAAAAAACGAAAAAAAAGCGATGACGAAGACTTTGATGACCGTCTTGACGAAGAAGACTATGACGTTATTGAAGAAAATCTCGGTGTTAAAGTTGAAAGAGTAAGCAAATCCATTTTAATTTCAAACTGGTTTAACATACAAGTTAATTCATTTTGTAATTAAATTGAGAAATCTTTGATAAACGATTATTATAGAAACGATTTAAACGGTTGAAAAGAATAAAAACTGAAGAATCTGAAGATGAGCAAGAACAAGAGCCAGAGGAGGAAAGAGATGCTATCGCAAATGAACTTTTTCCATCTGAATTGGGGTCTGGTGACGTAAGTATTCAGATAAACGCAAATTATTTGCTGAAAACGTAATCTTACACTTATGCTCATTGCACTTTTGCTTACTTGATGCTTATCATGCTAGGAAAGAGATACATTAGTGGTATGTCTAAGATAGCTGCTTTTCATTAAACCATCACTTATAGAGTTATTTAATACAAATTATGATGTGTTATTTTATTTTAGGAGGATGAAAGGAGAAGCGAACGTAGTGTGAGACCTGCCCCAGAAGCTGATAGATACGGAGGAAGTGAAGAAGAGTCTGATGCCGATGATTTCATTGTGGATGACGATGGTAGACCTATCAGTGGAGGTAAAAAAAAGAAAAAGCACATCTTTTCAGACAGGTAAGAAAATCTAAAAAGTCCGAAACGTTTAAAATGTATGTTTTCACTTACCAACTAAATACAATAACTGAAATTACAGTGCTCTTCAAGAGGCCCAAGATATTTTTGGAGTGGATTATGATTTTGACGAGTTTAGAAAATATGGCGACGATTATGAAGAGGAGGATGAAGAGCAAGACGAAGAAGATGAGGAAGATGACTATATTGATGAAGACGATGCAGACAAGCCGAGAAAAAAGAAAAAGGCTGCAAAGAAGAAAAGCACAGGGCGTACGATTCATACAGTATACGAGCCAAGCGATATTCGTCGTGGTTTCTTTACTGAAATGGACAGTGACATTCGTAAAATTGACATTCCCGAGCGTATGCAGCTTAGATCGACACCAGTTACACCAGCTACAGAAGAGGAGATCGCGGAAGAAGCTCAATGGATCTACAATCAAGCGTTTGTGCGGAAAAATATTTCAGTACAGGACTCTCACTTAACCGAGGAGGCAAAAACGCGTGCCAAGAAAGGTCCGCAAACTATTGGAAAAATCCAAAAAGCTCTGGAATTCATGCGCAACACTTATCAAGAGGTGCCATTTATTGCCTTTTATCGCAAAGAATACGTTCTTCCAGAGCTAAACATCAATGATCTGTGGAAGGTATACAAATATGATGCCAAATGGTGCCAATGGAACGAACGCAAAAAAGTGTTGTTAAATCTTTTCCGCAGAATGAAACGCTATCAGGAGGATCACATAATGAAAGATATAGATGCACCTCTTCCCGATAACATGCGCATCATTGAGGAAGAGGACGTTAAGCAGCTCGAAGGCGTCCAAACGACCGAAGAACTGAATGACTGCTATCGTCATTTCATGCTCTATTACAGTCATGAGATATCAAAAATGCAAGAGATAGTTCGCAAAGAGGAGAAAGAGAAGCGTCGAATCGAAAGGATACAAAAACGCAAACAACAGATCGCAGATGCCGAAGAAGCTGGCGAAGAACCGCCTCCTGAAGATCCCGAAGAAGATGACGAGTATGATGAATTTGATGCGACGCAAAAGCACACTATTCGCTCTGGTCCTTACTCAATTTGTAAAAAGGCAGGATTAGAAGATTTGGCGAAAAAATTTGGTTTGCCACCAGAACACTTTGCCAAAAATCTTGCTGAAGAGTACCAAATCTACGAAGTTGATCAGGAGCCCAACGAACCTAGTGTAGTCGCTGCTGAATTTATTAGTCAAAAATTCCAAACGACAGAAGAAGTACTAAAAGCCGCTCAGCTCATGGTGGCAATACAGCTTGCAAGGGAGCCTTTGCTGCGTGAGTCTGTAAGAAAGGTTTATAAAGAAAAGGCTAAGATCTCTGTTCGACCTACAAAAAAAGGCATCAAGCTGATTGACGAGAATCATCCGATTAGCACGATGAAGTACCTGAAGGGCAAGCCTGTCAGAGATTTAGTTGGTGATCAATTTTTGAAACTAGTTATGGCAGAAGAGGAAAAGCTCATTGAGCTATCCTTTTCCGATAACATCGAAGGTAGTACTACAAATAATTATGTAGAACAAATGAAGCAGCTCTACGTTAGGGACGAGTTTAGTAAAAATGTCCAAGACTGGAACGCCCTGCGCGTAGGTAGTGTTGAAATGGCTTTGACAAAAATGGTGATTCCTGATTTGAAGAAAGAGCTTCGCTCAATGCTGCTAGCCGAATCCAAAGAGTGTGTAATGCGCCACTGTGCACGAAAAATGTATAATTGGCTTAAGGTTGCACCTTACAAGTGTAAATTCCCCGACGAGGATGAGGAAGACTGGGACACTAGTAAAGGTCTCAGGGTTATGGGTCTTAGTTATGTGCCTGATTTTTCCGTCGCTTCGTTTACCTGCGTTGTTTCCCCGGAAGGTGAAGTTATTGATCATTTAAAATTGCCTCACATATTGAAGAAGAAAAATAGTTTTCGAGAAAGCGACAAAACCATGAAGGAAGCTGATATGTTGGCTCTAAGAAATTTCATTGCTACGAGAAAGCCCCACGTGGTCGTCATTGGAGGTGAGTCGAGAGAAGCGACGATGATCGCCGAAGATATAAGAGAAGTTATTACCGCGCTCACGATGGAAGAGCAATTTCCAAGTATCAATGTTGAAATAATGGACAACGAACTGGCTCGAATCTATTCAAACAGTCACAAGGGCGTGTCGGACTTTTTAGATTATCCCGAGCTCTTGCGCCAGGCAATTTCGCTCGCTCGCCGCCTTCAGGATCCTCTATTCGAGTTCAGTCAGTTGTGCAACCCCGATGACGAAATACTTTGCCTGAAATATCACCCGCTACAGGATCAACTGTCCAAAGAAGATCTCATAGAAAACATCAACATGGAGTTCGTGAATCGTACGTGCGAAGTTGGCGTTGATATAAACAAAGCTGTCCAACAGCCTTACTATTCTAGTCTTGTGCAATTTATCAGCGGTCTAGGTCCGCGTAAGGCGGCCAACATTATGAAATTGTTGAAGCAAACGAATCAGCGGCTCGAGAATCGATCGCAACTGGTCACGTTGCACCACATGGGTCCGAAAATTTATATAAACTGCGCAGGCTTCGTTAAGGTCGACACAAACAGCTTGGGCGACAGCACCGAGGCTTACGTCGAGATTCTCGACGGCTCGCGTATTCACCCCGAGACTTACGAATGGGCTCGGAAGATGGCCGTCGATGCCCTGGAGTACGACGACGAGGATGCGAATCACGGCGGTGCCCTCGAGGAGATCCTCGAATCACCTGAGAGGCTCAAAGATCTCGACCTCGATGCCTTTGCCGAGGAGTTGGAGCGCCAAGGCTTTGGCAACAAGTGCATTACCCTTTACGATATCAGGTCAGAGCTCAACAATCGCTACAAGGACCTGCGGCCAACATACCAGCCGCCGAATCCGGAACAATTGTTCAACATGCTGACGAAAGAAACTCCCGAAACCTTCTACGTTGGCAAGCTGCTTGAGACTACAGTCGTCGGGATAAGCTACAGAAAGCCAAAGGGTGAACAGCTGGAACAAGCCAATCCAGTGCGTAACGACGAGACGGGTCTCTGGCAATGTCCGTTCTGTCTGAAGAACGAGTTTCCCGAACTCTCCGAAGTTTGGAATCACTTCGACACGGGCGCGTGTCCTGGCAAAGCTGTCGGAATCCGGTTGCGTTTGGACAACGGCGTCTCGGGATACATTCACATAAAGAACTTGTCGGACAAGCATGTCACCAATCCAGAGGAACGAGTACGGATCGGAAATCGGATATACTGTCGCATAGTCAAGATCGAGCCAGAGAGATTTGGCGTGGAAGCGACGAGTAAAAGTAGCGACCTCGCTGATAAAAACAACGACTGGAGGCCGCAGAAGGATCCTTACTACGACGCAGAGGTCGAAGCCAAGGACAATCTCGTGGAAGAAGAGGCGAAGAAAGTTAGTCAGCGTCAGATGTACGTGACGCGCGTCATTATCCACCCGTCGTTCCGCAATATCACTTACGCTGACGCCGAGAAGCTCATGCAGACGATGCAGCAGGGTGAGGCCATCATTCGGCCGTCGAGTAAGGGCGACGATCATCTGACAGTTACGTGGAAAGTAACTGAAGGTATTCATCAGCACATCGATGTGCGCGAAGAGGGCAAAGAGAACAAATATTCGTTAGGACGTAGCTTGTGGATTGGCAACGAGGAGTTTGAGGATCTCGATGAAATCATAGCCAGACACATCAATCCCATGGCAGCTTATGCTACAGAGTTACTTGATTTTAAATATTATAAGGGCAGTATCATGGGTTCGAAGGAAAAATCAGAGGAACTTCTCAAGGAACAAAAGAAGGAGAATCCAGGAGGTATACCGTATGTCGTTTCAGCGGCTAAGAATTACCCCGGAAAGTTCATGCTTTCGTATCTTCCTCGTACTCGGTGCCGGCACGAGTACATTTCAGTCACGCCGGATGGTTTTAGATTTAGGACAAACACATTCTCGCGAGTCAGCGATCTTTTCCGTTGGTTCAAAGAACACTTCAGAGATCCGATTCCAGGACAACACACTCCCAGCACACCTAGGGTATACGCCAATACACCTGGTGGCGGCGTAAATATAAATGGTAAGATTTTTTTCTTTTTTCAATTTTACCGTTTTACATGAATATGTCCTGTGTACACACTTGGGTAAAATTATCGTTGTTTCATTTAATTTTTTATTGCTTGCAGGCATGAACCAGGAGGCGATTCAACGAGTGGCGCAAAATATGCCGAGGCACATGCTACATTCGTTATCACAAGTAGCCAACCAGACACCACATTATCCACAAACGCCTGGTGCAGCAAGCACAGCCACGGGATACGGTACCGTGCATGGTACGCCATATGCGATCAACACCCCCTACACCCCTTCAGGTCAAACACCGTACATTACGCCCTACCAGACGCCAGCGCAGCAAACTCCTGGCAGTCATCATGCAATGTCGGGTGGTCCGTTTGGACAGAATACGGATTGGTCGAAAGCGGCTGCTGCTTGGGCTAGACAATCAAATGGAACTCCCAGATCATCATCGTTAGTATTATTTTGATGAAAAATAAAGGCTTACTGTTGGCAATGAATTTTTATCTCATGAAATCTTATTAAAATGTTTTTTTAGGAGCCCAAGAAGTATGAGTCTCAGCGGAGATGGCACACCACTGTATGATGAAAGTTGAGAAAGTGTANTCTACGAGTGTTGAATTGAATTGTACCATAGTAAGTATTTCTCTAAAAGAACAGAAAATTTTTGTATTATAAATATAGAATATATTCAACTTGATTTGAATGACTTTCCTATCTAATTAACCATGTATATTTAATTATCATGCAACGCAGCAAATTCATTTAAATTAAGTTGAATATCAATTCTCGAAACGTTGTAATTCGAATATTAATATAGATGGAGATAATAGAGTTACTCTTATACAAATGTGTGTATATTTTTTATTGAAGCTGCTATGTACTTGATTATTTTTTAACTAATGACCACAAGTCGATTATATTCATTGGAATGGTAATTATCGCAAGTAGTCAGATATCCTTCAAATTCTCAATTAAAAGTTATTATTTTATATTGGAAGTGAGGCAAAGAAGGCTCATTAAAAAGTGTTGGAAGAAAATTTGTGAATATATAAAGTGTAGGTTAAGGGTATTTGCATAAAAATAAATAAATTTTTATTAATAATAAAACATATGTTATAAGAAATGTTTAAATGAAGGAATAAACATGTCTTAAGTGTATCATTTTTTTACCAAACAAAAAGCAATTGTTAAATACATAAGTCTTTTTTTTTTTTTTTAATTCATAAATCATTAACACTATATTAAAAGAATGAAATGTTATTGACTTTCAAGGGAATGACATATGACACACAATATTCAGAATTTTGATTGTGTACATTTGTTGATTTATCATGAAAAAGAGTGATAGGTTTATAAGATTAACATTGCAAACGTGAAAAAACTCTTTTTTTAGTTATTAAAAATTCCAAAGATGACGTGGTTGAAATTTATTAAACTTATACTTGCAGGATGTAAACTATTAAATTTTTGAAAATATTGAGCATAAGTATATACTTATTTACTCATCTTATTTGAATACACTAACTCACACACTTCCCATATTATATCACCGACAATATTTGCTCTTTTCATTTTATTATACTATAAACGATTTGAGAAATAAATCATGTCAGAAAAGTTTCTTCCACATTATTTCACTTGGATTCTTAATTACTTGATTTGATTGTTAAGTGATTTATTGTTAGTTTTATGGGTCGAAAAAGTATTTTAATAAAAAAATTTGGGTAGTCAATAAGATTTTAATAAATAGATACAGACCCATATCTGTGAATTTTTAGCTAAAGTTTATTTTCCTTTGAAAAGTAAATACTCAATTCTGCCAGTTACGCATACAAAAAAATTTGTAAACAAGAGTAAACGAGCATTGCCAATATTTTTATGAAACAAAAAAAATTTACAACATATGCAGAAGCCGATGAACAAGTATTTACTACTACAATACAAATGTCTATAGTAACTTTCGAATTGTAAAATATGTTTAATTAAACAATACAAGCTATGACCATAAAATAAATACCTATGTTGTATTATGAGTTAAAATTGCTCGAGAATGTTACCCATACGAAGTTGGCAAATTCAATAAAAATCCGGTCAAATGCTCAATAAAGTGCTAACAAAATTGTCAAATGCTTGGATCATAATAAGTGGATGATTATAGATATAATGATGTTTAGTATTTTACTGTTAATTTTCGTCTAAAGAAATTATTTAAAAATTAACACCTAATTATAAACTCGTCAAGAGTTAACAACATTTGAGCTTACAGATACGTTTCGCAAATGTAATTATATATTTCAATTGGCCATTCTCTCGCTTTTCAAATGAAATATCAGACCTTTGCAAACAATCTCAGTAGCAACATTTTTACTATCTTAAAATTGGCAATCCCTTTAGATTTCTTAAATAATCCTTTCTAACGCATCAACTATAAATATATACATTCACAAGATTTTTGACGACTCATTTCCCCTCAAACAATCTTTCCACTATTTTTCGTAATATTCATTTTTTTTAGATTATATTACGAAATTATCAAATTGTAACTACGACGTCAATTTATACTGTTTTTAACATAATTGTATTATTCTTATTTACAGATTTTACGCATTTTTTTCTGTAAATAGCTCTTGTTCACACCTGTGTTTTTTTTGTTTTCTTTTTTTTTTTTTTTTTTTTTTTTTTTTTTTTTTTTTTTTTTTTTTTTTTTTTTTTATTGAGGAACGAATGCCACACACTTGAAAATAACTTTTTTACATTCTAATCTGCTGACAACAAATACATAGAGTGTCAACCAATCTCATTTAGACAATTTATAGTTTGTAATACCAATCAAAATGCAAGTTAAACTTTATAAAAATACGATCAACGTTCACATAATCAATAACAATTCAGTGTTATTTTATCTCAAATTTGCAATATTCACACCCACAACAGACAGCATCAGGCCATTATACATTAATTTCTCTTTATAATTCAACATTAATCAATATTCTGTGCTTATAGTAATAATTATAACCGGAATAACGGGAATATATATATAAGTGCTTGTTCTTTCTTGCCTCTGATTTCATAACATATCTTTATGATCCAGTTTATGCAGAAAATTCAAGTAAACAAATGTTTTCGAAAATTTTTTTGCAAATTTTTCTCAACATGAGAATAATCGTCTTTTTTCATTTTTCGTTTTTTTTATTGAACAAATATGTTCTAAACTTTTTTCAGTAAATACAGACGAATCTACAGACACGTAATTTAGTAGAAACGCAGCATCAATCAAGGGACAAGAAATTGGAAAAATTGCCAAAATTTTCTCTGTGTTCTATTACAAACCTTTGGTTTTCTGCTGCCAATGATGTTTAGTTAATGTCAAAGTATTACCATACATGTATTGTTATTATAAATGTTTTTTCAACTCCAAATACATATTTCAAGCATCTTGGCTCTCCTATACGTTACTTTATTCTGAATTTTCATTATTTCTCTAAGTAATATCATTATATCATATCAATTACTGGTTTCTTTTATTTTTCTCTTATTAATTTTCCATTAATTTATTTTACAATATAACTACAAACATTCACCTTTTAATAACTCCTAACTACGCGTGCATGTCAAATAGCTCCATCATGACTTTTAGAGTACAATTTCCTTTCTCTATATATATGTACAAACGCATTTTTCTTTCATATTACACTCATCAGGAGCTTTAATAAACTTTAATAAAACTGCACTGGTTCTCTTAATATTTATTGCGTGTATGATTTTTTGTTCGCTTGGAATTCAAATACATAATACCGTTTTGTTTGCAGACAATACCTATATTATACTCTCTTTCTCTTTGCTTATAAGTTATTCAACATTTTATCCAAACAGATATTACACTATGAATTCATCGTAATTTTACGAGTGTTGAATTGAATTGTACCATAGTAAGTATTTCTCTAAAAGAACAGAAAATTTTTGTATTATAAATATAGAATATATTCAACTTGATTTGAATGACTTTCCTATCTAATTAACCATGTATATTTAATTATCATGCAACGCAGCAAATTCATTTAAATTAAGTTGAATATCAATTCTCGAAACGTTGTAATTCGAATATTAATATAGATGGAGATAATAGAGTTACTCTTATACAAATGTGTGTATATTTTTTATTGAAGCTGCTATGTACTTGATTATTTTTTAACTAATGACCACAAGTCGATTATATTCATTGGAATGGTAATTATCGCAAGTAGTCAGATATCCTTCAAATTCTCAATTAAAAGTTATTATTTTATATTGGAAGTGAGGCAAAGAAGGCTCATTAAAAAGTGTTGGAAGAAAATTTGTGAATATATATATATAAACTATTAAATTTTTGAAAATATTGAGCATAAGTATATACTTATTTACTCATCTTATTTGAATACACTAACTCACACACTTCCCATATTATATCACCGACAANAATCTTATGGAAAAACAAGGTATTTGTTTCCTCAAAATTACAATAATTGTTTGTTGATGATTACAAAAAATTATCTATACTTGGTAAATTCAAAAAAAATAATACCTAAAAAAAATCTATTCCAATTTGACGCGAGATCCTCAGATGGTGCTTTTGAACTTTCGAGCTTATTTCTCTCGTATTTACAAAATTAAAAAAAATTCATTGAAAAACTTTTCAAAATTGTGTAATGCTCAAAAGCCCGAAGCCCTTATCTATTGAGATCTCACGTTCCGCCTAAAGATAAAAGTCTTTCTTGTAAAAATTTGACCCTATGCAGCTTCATTATTCAATTATATTAAGTTATAGATTCAACCACTGCTATAATCGAAAAATATAAATCCTGCCTTAAGTATGTGATTGTATTCCATCTATCAATGTAAATCTATACGTGAATTTCTCCCGCATTTCCACGTGTCTCATCATCTCAGACGTATCACGGTTCAATATCAGTTTCCATTCTTCAACTAACTACCTACTTTCAATGGCACATAAAATGCCGTTTTCAAGGAATTCTCTTCGAGTTAACGCAAACAGTCTCAATCCACAGAAAAAAACAGTTTTTTTTTTTCAAATTATTTATAAATTACTTGCTTTACACTTTTAAAGCTCTTCTATACTTAAATGTTGTGTCGCTATTGATTATATTAAGTTTTAGTGCTGAATACTTCAGATGCAAGGAAAAGTACGGAAAAAAAAAGAAAAGAAATCTCATTGAAATCGGTTGCAACAACCAATCCTCATTGTAATAATCATTAAGAATGCAAATTCATTTCAAGATTGTAAAAATTACCCCAACCTCGTGGACTTGTTTTTTTGGCTTTTTTACTATTCTGTTTTGACATTTTCCAGACACGTGTGGTATATCAAAGCGTACAAAAAGCCTTTTGAGACAGCACCAATCCACATATTCCAGCCGGTGCTCATCACCAATAAAAGAAAAAACAACGGCACATCACTCGGCAACTGACTCATGCGTTCCTCTAGCATGTGGGTATTGTTGCATGGATCATAGTCTAATTCAACGGAAGACAGAACATCTGCTTCAACAGGCCTTTCTTGGGTATCTCGTCATCGTCCACATCGTCGTAATCGTTCTCATCGAAGACGCTGCTTATCAACGAGCCAGCCTCATTGTTGTTGTTGTTCGTGTTGTTGCTCGAGTTCATGGAATCGTAGCTGGCGTCTGTATAACTCAACGATCTCGAGTAGCTGCTTGGGCTGTCGTAACGAAAGGCAGGCGGCGGTGGCAGACTGTAGTCCGTGTTGTTGTAATTGTCGTCGCTCTGCATGTAGCGCATGAAAAAGAGCGGCGGTGGCTGCCGGTTGTACTGGAGCCGATGTTGCAGGGCGGAGTTGTCGTCCGCGATCGGTATGGCGAGGGGCGGGTGACGGGGCCGGGAGTCGAGCCCGTTGAACTGCAGCATGGCCAGCCGGTCCTGCAGCTCGTATATGTACGACTGGTGGAGTTGACGATGGCGCTCCTCGTGCTGTCGCAGAAGCAACTGCTGCTGGGCCAGCTCGAGCTCGATGTCGTAGGCCGTGGGTATGTAAGTTGGTAACCGCTGGTGGTGGTACTGGTACTGGGTGTGCTGCTGGTGCTGGGTGTGCTGGATCACGATGGCGAGGTGTTGATCCTCCTCGCTGTACGACGCTTCTTGGCTCGGCGTCTCTTGTCACACGCAGTCCTCCAACGACATGAGCAGCGGGTTCACGTACTCGAAACCCTCGAATTCCGTCTGGTCGATCCTCTCGATCACTCGCCTGATGAAATCAGAAATCACGAAATAATTCATCACTTGAAATTCATCAATCAGATGTACGCAAAAACAAAAGCACGATCCGAGAGTTTGCAAAACGCGAGAATAACACGCGGGGGGGGGGGAAGAAAACTTGGGAAACTTTCATCGGACAAAGAAGTCAAAGAGAACAGCGGACTAAAGTTCGTGGAATAATTTGCTGCATAATTCAAAGCGAAACGGCCTCACCGAGACCTCTGCTTTCAAAAGCCAAGAATATTTTTGTACAAGTACGTATTTGTAGATTATATTACACAAAAGAGCACGTGCGGGATGGGAATAAAAAAACACGGTCGAAAAGCCACGAAGAAAAGTAGAAAAAAAAAAAAAAAAAAACGAAAAGGATGGGGACGAACTATGCGACAAGGGAGAAAAAGAGCGACTTACGGATCATCGGGCGTGAGATGTACTGGCTCGTCCGTGAATTCGGGCGGGAAGTTTGCCAAGTCGCGATCGGAATTCAGCCGCGGCTTGTACGGCGGCGTGACCTGTTTCTGCTCCAGCTGCAACACACACATTAAACGCAAAGCATTGGTTAGCTATGATGAAAGGAGTTGGAGGAAAAGGTAAATAAAAAGATATGCAGCTGCGAATTGAAAAAGGCATCGGAAAAATCAGGTCAGTATATCTGTCCGTCCAGCCCGCAGTATCTAGGTTTACATTCGTAATATCTAAGGAGGAAAACTTGGCCTCACCATCTCCCAGTCGATGGCTTTGAAGAACGGGTGGTTCATGATATCGGTGAAGGCGTTCCGGCTACCACAGCCAAGGCGCTCGGCCGGCTCCTTGCAGAGGAAACCCTTGAGCACCGAGGCAGCCTTGACGGAGAGCGAGCGCGGTATACGTATGGTCTTCTGCAGTATGACCTGGAAGAGGTAGTCCTCGGTGTTTTGGTCCGGATTCTCCGAGGCCCCGGCTATGTCGAACGGACTCCGGCCCGCCAGCATCTCGTAAAGCAAGACTCCCAGAGCCCACCAGTCCACCGAGAAGCCGTAATCCTCGCCCCGCAGGATCTCGGGCGCTATGTAATTCGGCGTGCCGCAGAAGGTTGCCGTGGTGTCGCCCTCGCGCACACCCTCCTTACACATGCCGTAGTCGGTCAGCTTGACATGGCCCTCGTGGTCGAGCAGGACGTTGTCGAGCTTCAGATCCCGGTAAATTATACCTGCTCGCGCATACGTACATACGATACAATGAGAATTGTCACGAAAAACGGACAGAAGAAAAAAAAAAAAAAAAAAAAGTAAGTCACGGACCCTTGGTGTGCAAAAAGTTGAGGGCGAGACTGATCTCGGCGGCGTAAAATCTGGCGTGCTCCTCGGGTAGCCGGCGCTGCCTCTGCATGTGGAACATAAGATCACCACCCCGCACGAACTCGATGACGAAGAAGAGCCTCGAGGGCGTCTGGAAGCACGAGTGGAGGCCGACGAGGAAGGGATGATTCGAGGCAGTCTCGAAGACGTGTTTTTCCGTCTGTACCCAGTCGATGTCCTCGTCGTCGGTGACCAGGGCCTTTTTGATGACCTTCATCGCGTATATGCGCTTTGTCGCCTTGAGCTCGACCATGAGCACCTTGGCGTACGAGCCGCGGCCAATCACCCGTATCAGCTCAAAGTCCTGGAGGCTGTACTGCCGGTCGCTCGCCCCCTCGACGCCCGCCATCTCGTCCAGGGCCAGCTCCTCGCCACCCTCGAGCTCACCCGGGCCCGTCGTCGCGGCTGAACCTCCCGCCGAATCCGAGCCGGCTTTGCTGTTGTCCTTGTAGCGGTGCTGGTGATCCTTGGACGAACCAACTGTGGAACAAAGACGCGTGGGTTTCCGGTAAGTTTACCGATGCCTCGCGGTAAAATGTACCGACCGCTTCGAAGTATGTTATACGGTATAATGTCCTTTGCTTATTTCTTTAGACGTAATAAACAACGCCGATTTTCGGACCAAGCATTATCGACTCTTTGGATGAGAGCAGTACTTGATAAAAAAAGGAACTCACGTCGGCCGTAGGCGCCCTCCTCGTTGGTGTTGTCGGTGCCATGGTAAAAGTCGAGGTGTATCCCCTGAGGACTCGATTGGGGGGACGAGTCGAGTTGGGCCTGTTCGCCGTTCCGCTCACCGGTCTGCTGGTCGCCCGGGCCGCCCGGCTGTTGTTGCTGGTTCAGGCAGGGCTTGCGCACGAGCTTGTGGCACTTTTTGTGCACCAGGAGCTTGCACTGGATGCACTTGAAACCCTGGCGGCCTAGACCCCAGATTCGGTCCTGGCAGAAGGCGCAAAAGGCGCGCTGGAAAATTGTTTTTTTTTGTTTTTTTTTTTTTGTTTTCTTTTTCATTTTTCATAATTATACATGTATATTTTTTAACAAGCTCGAACATATGGCACTTTGAGATTGGTGAGATTAAAATTTACATAAAGTTAATTTCATGCCGAATCGACCACGTCGGTGTAAATGTATATACGTACGCATTCATAAAAGGTATGTGGCAACGATTGTGGGTATAATATGCACGTAATAGAAGCAACTTACCCTATTGAAACGCTTGGCCTGGAATATGTGTCCGTTCACCCGGTAGAGCTTTCTCCATCTGCGTGCACCGCGTCTGTAGATACTCCCTGTTGATAACGGATAAAAGGTGAGATTGAAGGAGAAAAAAAAAAAAAAAAAAAAAACAACACTCGATTTAGCGCCCAGATCCAACGCGTATGGGAAGCGAAATATAATCATCACGCTTTACGATAAGGATAATTGCTCCCTTTGGGGAAAATTGAAAAGCTGTGCCCTTTTTTATTTCATTTAAGTTTGTGTACAATGTTTGTTTTGCTCGATAAGTCGTATAAAAATGTAAATAAACGAGATCAACTCCTTCCCTCGAATGAATGAACCCCACGAGAAAATACAAATGCCCTCGATCAAAGCAAATGGCTCGGAAAGCTTGATAAATGTATACACGTGTGTATACCTACATGCGAGACGTTACTGCTTTGTGTATATACGTATAGAAAAAGGGGGAGGGGCATGAAAAAAAGGGTACTCGTGTACATGAGAAAAAAAAAAAAAAAAAAAAGCCCTCGAGCTGCTGCTCAATCTCTTTCAATGCTCCATCGCCGTCAACGAGTCTTTACTCTCGGTGTACACACATCTTTTTTCGCGCGCTCAAGTGTACTCGGGTATACACATTACACTCGCGGGGGGGTGGAAGAGCAACGCGCGTCTCGTCGGGGCGGCGAAAAATCGGCCTCGGATAATTTTCCCTGACGTCCCGTGTGATGCACTCGGTGTTAATACGTGGGTGCACGTGCAGTACGTGTGTACATATAAGAGGGGCGTCTTAATTGAGGCCGAGCTGTTTGCGGCTCCGTGTGAGACTGTGCTCGTTTTCGGGCTCGCTATAGGAAAATAGAGCAAAATAAATTAAAGAACAGAAAAAAAGGGACTCCGAGACGGGCGTGAGAGGGAAATTAATTATACCTTGTTTTCTCGCACTTTTTTTTTTTTTTTTTTTTTTTTTTTTTTATACACAGTTCGCGTGACTCCTTGATCGGAGGATACAGTTTTCGTGCTTTATATACGCGTGAAAAATCGTTTGCTTGAAAATATACCTCGTATACACGTGGTTTCGATTACGGGCGGAGATTGGTATGACAAAATCCGCGAATTCGTTCGTAGAAAATAACACAAATGTTTACGTCAAATATATCGTATTTACGGCACTATATCGGTTATTATATCACCTTCACTGTAAATCGGCAAATGAGTAACCAAATTGATGTTTGATCTAAATAACTTTATGGAATTGAAAAATATTTTGTAATAATTGTATCGCGATGTTTGGCACCTTCGCGTATCAATTGTCTTTGAAAACAACTATTAGATCTAATTGAAAAAGAAAAATTGGTTTGTTTATTCATCACGAGCCTGTGAACACTATATTTTATACTACAACACATTCGACGCAAAACAGCAATTTCAACTTGATAATTTATTGAACGTGACTTATTTTCGTAAATTTCTCACTTGCCGTAAAATTTCGAGGAAGCTTTGAAAATTCTTTGATTTTTTTTTTCTATTCTCTTGTCCACCGTGAAAAACTACCCGAAAGCAAGGAATATGGAAGGAAAGAAAAACCACACCTGGCTGTGCAAAGCTGCTTATGAGCATCCGCAGGTAACACACTGCCGCCTCATACTCTTCCATGTCCGACACTCGCAACTAAACTGTAGCACAAAAACGTGATAGTTATTTACACGTGACGGAGACGGTACACATAAACATATACCTGTACATACGCGTAGGTACGAAATTATACCGGCATCACTGTACACATTATATACAGGGTCCTCTTCGAGAGAGTGTTGGACCTTTACATATAGGTACATTTGTAAATATTACATCCGGGGATACCCAACGTGAGGGACACGTGCGCGCGCGCGGCTGCAGTAAAATTTTCACGATAAGCCGGAAAGGTATTTTTCAATGGGAGGAGCTTTGTATGGTTTTCGTTATTTATGAAGTCGAAAAGTGTCGCCTCTATATGCGACTTGTATTTATGTGGGCACATTGAGTCGAAGAGCAGCATTTTCTACGATTTTGCGTGAATCACCGATTGGAAAAATTTTGATACATATCTCGTATTTCACTTCATTCGAGCGTATATATAGAAAATGTTTTGCGGAGCACAAAAGTTAACTCGACATATTATTTATTAACAAAGTCTTTGCTCGCGGGAAACAAAGTTTTACTACTCGAGTCAATTTTCACTCCCGTGCCTAAAACACTACCAATCCAAAACTTTTTTTTTTTTTTACGTAATCTCGAAACAGAGAGGCCTTTCTGAGCACGATCTCGTTAAATTAGCGAGCTAGCGTTGGTTTTTCCCGAAGGCAAAATATCCCCTCTCCCCCTGCCCCCATTTTCTCTTGACCCGTTTTTCCTTTGCTCTTGGCGAATTTTTGCCGAACCAAACCTGCAGTTTCGCTTCCTCGGCTCTTTCTAAATGGTTATCTCTCTACTATGTAATACCCGTACACACAAGGGGCAAATATTTGATAGCTTTGAATTTTCTTTCTTTTCATTCTTTGTTTCATCAATTATTTCCAATTTCACGAAAAAGTATTGCCTCTTGGTTTCTCCCTGATTGAAAACAGTATAGTCTCGAAACAATGGATGACAAAAAAAAAAAAAAAAAAAAAAAGACAATCAAAAAATATTTCTCGAGGGTCCCTGGCCATGGAAAAGTCTGTATGGACGTATACATGTTATACTTACGGTCCTCGCCCTGGCATGGCATCCCCGGCGCAGGCGGTACATTGGGAAAGACTGCAACACAGAAAAGCAGAAGGAGACATTTGTTATTGCGTAAAATATAAACATAATGGAAATTCATGTTTGTACGCATTACACAAAGCTGCCCAAGTATACCTACAAAGTTTTGTACTTGCGCGAAACTATAGCGTCCACACCCTTTTGGGCAGTACAGAAATTAATGATACCGATATACGTTTATATTTTGTACGTGACTTGGTTTCATGCTGGGTGGAGCTTTGGAGCATTAGGGTGTAGGAATGAAATTTATCGGTGCGATTTTCCGCTCGGAATAATGTTGTTCCTCCTCGTTATGACATAAACATAGGTACACTCTATTGTGGGCGCTCTCGTTATACACTTTGACGTTATCCGAGTCTAAATCTATTTTTCGGACGCCAACGCTGATTTATGAGCAAGGGTTTTTTTTTTTTTTTTTTTGTACGTCGCACTCCAAAAGGCAATAAATATACGGGCTCATTATATATGTTTGCATTTTATAAAAATGTAACGACAACAAAAACAACAACAACACCCAAAGTTTCGTGTTTGCTCGATTGCGGATTAGAAATGGTATTCCAAAGTTTGCGATCTATGATGGAAAAAAAAACAATCGCCGACTCGAAAGTGTCCACGTATATGTGAACGGAGACAGAGACGCGTTAAAGAGCGACGTGACACGACAGGGTCAAGTTGGAGACTCGGAGGCCCCTCGAGGGGAGAGGGATGGATGTCTCTCTTTGGAGAAGACGCTCGTGTTTGCTCTGCTATGGCTTCTTTGGGGCTAGTCTCTGAATCACGCCGTGTATATATAATCTCCTATGTGCTGTGTGTACACACGTATATAGTATATCAAAAAGTCGCTCTCCGGAGTCGGCCCGCCTTACACACTTCCGTAAATCTATATCTCCCGCTCACTTGGACGCGCTTTTCTCTTCAAATATATACTCTCCGCCCCCCCCCCCCTTTGCTTTTAGGTGCTTATCCATTTACGTATACAAGAGAGATGAGTTTTCGCTCTATCTTCGTAACCGAACCTGTAAAATTTGCGCCTCTCCGAGTTAAGGAGGCGTTGGGCAGAATAAAAGAAACACGGAGGGATGATCATTGCGATGGCTCTCGAGTTTATTTAATTTGACACGCGCTGAGATTACCTTGAGACTTTACGTGATGTTTTCTCCCCTTTTCCGCTGATTTACGTATCAAGTTACGCTTTTTTTTTTTTTTTTTTTAATTATATATCTTACGCGTGTGGTTCGAGGGCGATCCAAAAAACGCCACCTTTGCGGAGTCGAAAAATAAAACTGCAGCACCGTCATCCGCGAGCTCTCACCACCTGCAGCCTCGTAACGAGCTCAGATCCACCCCCCAGCCATGCTCGTCTCTTACGTTCCTGGAGTCTCTGCTATGACTTCCCTCCCTCATCGCTGTAATACACCACTTGTGTACACGAAAAAAAAAAAGGAAAGAGACAAGAGAGGACCGACTATCGGATGCATGTGAGACACCGATGTACATCATACACACGTGTATAATGGAGGGAAAATGGCCTAATTTGGTGCATCAGTATACCTAACGCCGCTACCCCCTTGCTTTTTTCCTCCCTTTTCGAATTTCCCTCTCCAACCGAGGAAAAGATCATCATCGATTTTTCCCAGTGGCTCTGTTGGGATGTACCTAATGTGTGTGGGTAAAAAAAAAAAAAAAAAAAAAAAATTTATTAAAAGTCACACGTATACAACATTGTTGTTGAATAACTTCAAGCCCCACCCAAACATCTCACGCCTCACGCGACCAATGTGCAGAAAAGAAGCGAAAGCCAGAGCTTGCAGCTCGTAACTTTGCTCGTGTATGTACGTATATACATACAACACACGGAGAGGCGTACTTTGAGGCACGTGGTTTCGTTTCTGGCTCGCATAAAGTGCTCGAGCGACGAGTCGTTGTAGGCGTCGTTGGCGCCGATCCGCAAGCACGAGGGAGCTTTGCCAACTCGGGAGGGGCCGAAGGAAGAGCTACAGCGGCACGGGCGCCGAGGGTAGTGTCTCGGGGCTGTAAGGAGTAGGATATACTGGAAGCTCCGGGGAGATTTACGAAGTTCGTGACCGCAGTTTGTCGCAGCGGCAGCCGAGCTCTGCACGTAAAAATCTAGGGTTTTTGTTTTTGTTTTTGTTTTTTTTNTTTTTTTTTTTTTTTTTTTTTTTTTTTTTTTTTTTTTTTTTTTTCTCTTTGACAAAACGCGCGCAAACTTACACGGCATTGCGCTTTTCTCGGCTCGTTTCTTCCTTTGTTTTTTTTTTTTTTTTTCCTTTCATTTTGCGATTTTCAATGTTATCATATGCTCTGGAATTAACGTCGACACGCTGCAGAGACAGAAGAATCTTCGAGGCTATTTATAACGAGATGCCTGACAAGGCAAACATTCCCTTCCCCTCCAACTTTTTAACGAACGAAAAAAAATATGCCCAATCATCTAATCAAAAACATCAATTCTGTGTTTTTCGATTATTAATAAAAAAAAACAAAAGAGGCTCACGTGAAAAGGAATAAAAAGTAATTAGGACGACGAGGCCGGACCAGCTTGCATGGCTCTCTGGAGGAAAAGGAAATAAAAGGGAGGCCCTCCCTCGAGCTTTCGAAAATAATCTCATTGTTTCTCCCGAGAGAAAGAAAGAAAGGGGGGGGACAAAGAGAGAGAGAGAGAGAGAGAGAGAGAGAATGAAATGGTATTTCCCCGAGTATTAAAAGCTCGAGGGGCGCAAGAAAACCTGGCAAAAAATATAATATGGTATATTCATATATATATACGTGCTCCGGGAAATCCCAGGAAATAACAAACAGCAAGAATAATGATAATGATAACGTAATTGTGTAGTGGCGGCGCGGAGTGCAGGTACTTACGAAAAGAAAGTTTCTCCCACCAAAGTTCGGATCTGATGAACTTTTTTTATCGTATGGCTAGGTAGGTGTACCCATGGATCCGGGACATAAATTAGTGAGAGCCAACTCGAACGAAACTAAATCTTAATTTACCCAAAAAAACATTTACTTGTGACATACCAACGCAGAGAAAAACAAATGTATTCGCCTTCCAATTTGAAAATGGCACCGTGTTAATGATAAATTTACGCCTTACAACGCGCAGGAGTGTAAAAATGTATCGCGACCTCTCGCGTACTCGGCCTATATATCCTACAGTTTCCGCAGTGCTCGTCCCGTAAATTTTTAAATATACCTGACTGCAGAGACCTTGACGGCCATTGTCGGCGGGCCCGTTGCTACGGCGCACCTTCACCAGCGCGGGAAAATCAAGGTAAGGCAGCGGGTAGACGTGGATCAGCGCGGCCCGGAACATCGCCGAGTAGAACTCGGTACTCATGGTCTCGCCCTCTCTCCCGTTGATTGAAAAAAAAAAGCTCTCGTTGATCTCAAGTATGCATTGCAAGGTCACGCATAAACCATAATTATGTAGTCCTTACGATGGAGCACGTGGGGGGTGGCCGGTTGTGGCGCACGTCAATCGATACACCTAGTGGATATTTCGATATAAGTATATATACCTATGTAATATAATCCTATTGAACTTGACACATTGTGAACTTTGACCAAATCTCGCTTGGCTCGCTCATCGATAAGATAAAGCAGCGCACCGTCGTGTAAAAACAACCTCGCGACACCTGCAGCTTCAAATGAACAATAATAGGCCAAAATTCCTTTTTTTTTTTTTTTTTTTTTTTTTTGCCACTCGTGTACTAATGTGACAAGGACAAAAAACTAATGTCTTTGTATCAGCGTCACTTGACACTCGCGCACCATGACAAAAGATGATGTAGATGTAGCCTGTGGTACACGTTGCGCACAGAGTACTTGTTCAGGTAACGGGCAAAGCGTTGACAATCCAGTCAAACGTCGTCGTTGCCGAGGATGCGAACAAAGGAGGACGCGGCAGATGAGCAGCCGTCGAGTCGTGGCTCGCATTATCGTCGAACTAAACCGTCACTGTTACCTTTGCCGTGACTTTCCTCGCAAAGTAGGTACTTACGCGCGAATATATATATATACGTTTGTGTATATGTATAGGAGAGATAACGATAGCCGATAGATAGATACGCACAAACAAACACGTTTTGCTTTTATTACGTATACTATCTTGGCTTGGGTGTTTGTTAGTGTATACAATATATGTATGTACGTGTGGCGCAGGGATCAATAAAAAGAGAGAGAGAGAGAGAGAGAGAGAGAGAGAGAGAGAGGGAAAAGCTCCTCGACACAAAGCTGCTTATCGGACCTCCCTTTCCGCCTCTGCTTCTTTATTTTGATGACTGCATGGCTTTTTTCCTCTTTTTCTTTTTTAGTTTTATCGTCTAATGGTACCTAGAGCGTGTGCTGGACCTTATTTTAGCAGTGCGGGCTTATCGAAGGCAGTTGCGCTTTTTTTTTATTATTATTATTTTGGTTGTGTAAATAATCGCTGAGCCAGCTGATGGTGACGATGATATATTTTCATCACTGAGTCTGGCTCTAATGTTTTTGCTTTTCAAGAGGCCATTGGGCTAATCGATATTTAGATTTGTCTAAAGCTCATAGAGATAGTTTTTTTTTTTTGTTTGTTTTTTTTTTTTTTGGTCCATCAAAGATTTTTCGTGATTTTTTAATTCTTCCATTCACGAGTACCATATTGTGTCCTGGTATCGGTCCTCGTACAAAAATCGGATCGGCGATTTCTTGAGAAAAAAGAGTCGTAGGTACTCCAAGTGGCGGTGAAATAACACGTATACGTATTATTTGTTTGGCAGCTATTGTTACGATGGCTCATGATGGAATATTCGTGTTTGGAGCAGCTTGAAATATATATTTCCGGTGTGTGTGTGTGTAAACATTCTGATATACTCAAGTTAAAAAAAAAAAAAAAAAAAACAAGACAGGTGTATCGAAAAAGGAAATGAATCGTTTCAGTGATTGATAGCGGCTGTTTCTTCGACATCTTTTTTTTTTTTTACTCATGTGATGGATCA